ATCAATAGGTAAATAAAGGTCTGGTTAAACAATTCAGAGCTACAGAATCGATGAACAAAACAAGTCACAGTTGAAATTTTTAAATACACCCTAAAACGAGGTGTTTATTGGAATGTTGATTTTTGTCGTGACTTACTAGATTTTGACACACGGGGATACCTGATTCAGTGAGTGACTCGCTGTTTTTATAGTCAAACAGTTTTCTTTGACAACCGTAGATTATTCAATGACTCTAGCTACATAGTGTTTATTGTGTGTGTTGTGATTTTCAGCGAATGTCCGACTGACTAAAATATTGTTTTTTCCGTCCTGCATTACAGCAAACCGCGTTTCACGTTTTCTGTTTTGGTCACGTGGGCTAAATCAATTGTTGCACGGGGTTTTGCATTTAGATGTTGTGAACAATTAAAGAGCTACATCATTTGCAACATATTCGTGTATTTAAAACTGAAAATTTATAGTTCTGGGTAACACTATATGTAGGCCCTTTTAAGTGTCTAGTGATTCTTTACGACCTGTTTATTTGTTAAAAGACAAGTGATTGTTCTATGCTTGCTTACTTTATAGTGAGCTGCATGTTCGGAATGCCTTGTTACTGATAGGTGAAAGTACATTGGACATTTAGTATTTTATATTTGGAATTTATTGAGACAAGTGTGAATTTTTCCGTTTTTCAGGCTGGGTGGTATTCATTTCATGTATTTCAAATTTGGTGAGAAACAAATCCATGTGTGTTTGGTCACATACCTCCCTTGTACTGGCAGACAACGTAAAGCTGTCCCCTGCCACAACTAAAATCTGCAATATGAATTTGTCTGCTTCGAGTGCTTTAATCGTGACTTCAGAGAGAACCTTTGTTATTGGTTACAAGGGTCATTGGAAGGTCACTTAGCGAGAGTTTACATCAATGACAATACGCGTTGTCTCGTTCATATTATGCCGACTTGTTACCCATTGCACAGTGATATCAGATACTGGCACCCTGACTATAATTATAATTTCTATAAACAGCATACTTATAATATAAAATAAAAATGCTCACATCCACCATAAAGACGTTTGAATAGCCAATGTAAGTACAATTCTCGTTCAATTAATTTTCACCATTACAAGTTGACTCGGGTTTTCCTGTAACGATCGATCTGGACTCTGATTGCGCACTCGTCGCTATAATTCATTAATCGTTTAGTTTTTCATGGTGACATGTATTATTCCTTCGTTCTATTGGTTGTTTACCTTTTTGTGGTTTCAGATTTTTTAGTATATTTTGCTTTTTCGTTTTTCACGGTAGCTCAGAGCAGGTTTTGAACGCACTGCCTTTTCAAGCTAATATTGTTTTACCTCAATGGCACGCTTGTGCACCACGCACATGATTTAATTTCGCCACGACAATTAATAACTGAAAATATGTTGAATGAAAATGCCGAATTGATTGTTTTGCTTCCGGTTAGTGTTTATCTTTTGTCATTCGAACCCTCGGCGCTTGTATTAGGTGTTTTTTTCGCTCCTCCGTCTGCCATTTCCCCGTTTTCGTGTATTACTTGTTTTGCGATTTTGTGAGTGTTGAATGATGTGTCACGTCATGACCTCATTTCAACCACACGGCTGTTAAAACGAAGTGAACCCTCGCGTAACCCCACAATAGGATCACCCTGTTTAACATGCTAGGATTTATTCACGTATTATCATATTTTCATGTGATTTGTTCCATATTATTGGCAAAGTATTGAGTATCTACATTTAAATTCGTATATATCAATTCGTATATGCTGAGCGAACGACCCCGATTGAAAGTCATGTATTTTGTGACGTCACCAATTCGTGTGTAGGATTAGCATCGATTATTGGAGTGTTGATTTGTGACACAGTTGTGTTAAATATGTGTATTTTACCAGATTTTGAATTCACCGCCATAGTGGACACGCAGGGAGTACTGGATTCAGTGAGTGCTTCGCTGATTTTCATAGTCAAACAGTTTTCCTTGGCAACCATAGATTATTCAATGAATCTAGCTACATAGTGTTTATTGTGTGTATTGACAGCGAATGTGCGACTGACTAAAATATTGTGTTTCCGTCCTACATTACAGCAAACCCCGTGTCACGTTTTTTGATTCGGCCTTGTCGGCTAAAAAAATTGTTGCACGGGTTTATGCATTTGGATGGTGGGAAGCATAACACAGTATACCATTCTGTTGCCACGTATTCGTGTATTCAGAACTAAATGTTTGGCTAATTACTAATTCTATGCTTTCTTATGTATTGTACGTATTGCGCAATTATTCCATTATTAATTTAATCAGTTTGGAAAAGACACAAAACCATGTGTGTTTGGTCACCTCCTTTTCACTGGTGTATCAGGTGAAGCTGCTCCATGCCACAACCCGAAACTGTGATAGAAATATTTCAATCGTGACATCAAGGAGATCCGTTGGCACTGGTTACAAGGGTCATTGAAAAGTCATTGATTGAAGGCTTACAACAAAGCGTCGTCTCATAAATAGTATACCGATTTGTTACTCATTGTCACAACGATATCATATACTTGCGTCCGGTCATCGATGATAACTGTTGTAAACAGCATCTTACATTTTTAGTAAAAATATGCTCACATCCACCGTGAAGATGTTTCCTGTTTGAATACTGAACCACCAATGAATGTGTTCACTGACGTCACAAAAAACATGCAAAAAAGGGTAGTATGATTAAAGAAAATCATTATCAATATATTTAGGCTCAAACAACTACATGGGCAAACAATTTTTCAGACAATTGTGACGTAATTATGTCAGCAGACTTCACACATTTCAGTAAAATCTGACAACTAAATAAAATATTTTCTCTTCACTGCGAGATCGCTTATTATGCGTAAAATCTAACTTACAAATAGGTAAAACAAGAGGCGTAAAAAAATCGCGTGGGATTTGAAAAAAACAACAATTTTTTTGGATATTTTCATGATTAATGTTATGCCATAAACAATTGAAGCTCAAGTTTGATAAAGTAAGAGTATCTCGATGGCATACTTCAATTTGACAGTGATCAATAAGAATGACGTCACTTGTCCTACATTTAGACGAAAGTTTTCTATGTTCTTCGTGCAATAAGGTATGCAAGAATTGTTTTTCACACAATAATGACAAAATTGGGTTACCGGTTGGCTTAATGTTATCCCAATGGATCTGCTGCTGTGAGGGTTTTGTACCCCCTTCCCGATTCGTAGGAAACTGATAATTTCAAGCAGTATTCAAAATAATGAGTATTCATAAATTAATCGCATTTTCTTGATACTCACTTGTACGCTAACCGACTGTGATAAAGTTATAAATAAAAGTAATTCAGGTTCAACATTTTTGTGGCAGACGCTCGGTCTGCGCTTTTTATGCAATACGCGAGATCTCGCAGGGAGTGGAAAATGAATGAATGATATGCCAATTACAACACAAATATATCATAGTCATCGTAGGAATAAGTGGTTTCCCTTTTTCATTTATTTGTTACAGTTTTATCGTCAACAATGTCTCTGAGCACATATGAAAGAAACGAAAATGCAAGTATTCTGAGGGGACCAAAATTACCTTTTCCTTATGGAATGCCATCATCGACACTCCACGGTGTCCTCGAATATAAAGCAAGAATGGAAGATGCAGACAAGACAGCAGTAATATACAGAAGTAGTAAATTGACTTTCTCTCAGCTAAATAAGAAATCTAATGCAATGGCACGTGTAATTAGGAATGAGATGAAGACATTCAAACTTGATACTTCATCAATCATTGGAATACATTTGAATCCGAGTGATGATGTAATCATATTGATATTTGCTCTTCTCAAATTAGGAGTTGCATATCTTCCATTGGACCCAATGTATCCTATAGTACGTCTCAGACACATTATTGGCGATGCACGTCCAGTATGTGTAATATCTCAATCAGACCTGAATGTGTTAGAACACCTACAAACATCAACGCAGAACACAATCCAGGCATGCTTTTTATTAGCTGATCTACAGAAGAAAATGGTTAAATTTACCAATGATGACCTCCACGAAACAGACCAATCTTCCACGACTGATGCAGCCGCATGTGTATTATATACTTCTGGCTCCACTGGGGTTCCAAAGGGTGTCAAAAAGACTCACAGAAGTATATTAATTCGAAGTAGGGCACTTTGGGATGCGGCCAATTTTAGTCAAACTGAAGTTGGATGTTGGAAATCATCACTAAATTTTGTAGACTCAACAACAGAGATATTTGGCTTCTTACTGAAAGGACTGCCACTTATTGTCGCAGAAGTAGGCACAGTAAACAATCCAGAACTGTTTATCCAGTTTCTGGCTATACATAGAGTGACATGGGTTATTTTAGTTCCAACTCTACTGCAAACCATGCTGACTGTATTACGAGCGAGGTCTCTCCACGAAAGTCAGCTGATTCTAAAATCAGTTCACACATTCGCTGTCACAGGGG